TACAAAATTAGCCAGGTGTGGTGTGGTGGCACATGCCTATAATCCCAGCTACTTGAGAGGCTGAGGCAGGAGAATCACTTGAACCCAGGAGGTGGAGGTTGTGGTGAGCCGAGATCATGCCATTGCACTCCAGCTTGGGCAACAAGAGTGAAACTCCATCTCAAAAAATGGTAATAATAATAAAATAAATAAATAAATTACTGTCCCCTTCCTACTTCGCAGGTGTGAGTGAGTTCTCACTCTAGGTGGAATGGTTGTATTCCCAGGAGAGTGGCTCCTGAAAAGAGTGCGGCTTTCTTGGTGTCTCTTTCTTGTTTCCTCTCTCACCATGTGATCTGTGTGCATGGCTGCTTCTCATTCTTTCTATCATGGGTGAAAGCAGCATGAGGACTACACCAGATTCAGCTGCCAAATCTTGGGCCCTCCAGCCATCAGAATCACGAGCCAAAGAAACCTCTTTTCTTTGTAAATGACCCAGCCTCAGGTACTCTGTTGTAGGAAAACAAAACACACTAAGATAGGTCCTTAGCTCAGCCCTGCTCTGATTCATCTCATATGAGGAAAGCTAAATCTTGAATGGAATAGAGGTCTGGAATCTTTCCCCTATAGATGTGAGCTTCTCCCTCTGATCTCCTAGAGAAAAATCCTTTATCTAAACTGCCAAGAAAGCCTCAGGAGCTGGGTATGGTGTGGGCATCATGGGTCACAGGCATGCAATTGTATGAAGCAGGGTAAGCCGGGTTAATCCCTTCTGGGGTCCTTACACCACAGGGAAGATATCAACTCTCTTTTTCCTCCTCTAAAGAGACTTGTCTCCACTATATTTCCTCCCCCTTGGTGTCTTCTCTCCTGTCTCTCTCCTCTGAAGGAAATGCAGACACATACACCTTGTGCACTTTATTCCATAGAAGAGTGAAGACAGAGGGGTTCTGTGAATAGCAATCAGATTGCCAGCTACCTTACAAGACAAATGTAGGTGAACATATAGAATGACAATCAGACAGGAACTGTGCTAGGCTGAATCAAGACCCTAGATGATGTCCACATCCTAATACATGGAATGCATTATCATGTGATGGCATATATCAAAATGGACTTTGAAGTAGTAAGCAATGGATTTTGAGATGGTGAAATTATTCTGGATTATCTGAATGAACTAGATGGAACCGCAAAAGTCCTTACTAGAAGGAAAGAGATGTGAGGACAGTAAGAGAGAGAAAGAGATTTGAAATGCTGTTGGCTTCAAAGAGGGAGAGGGGCCAATACCAAGGGAAAAAAAGGCAGCTCTGGAACTGAAAGAGTAAGGGGTAAGACTCTTCCCTAGACCCCTGGAAAGGGGTTGACCCTGTCTGCAACTTGTTTTCATCCAGTGAAACCCATTTCTGACTTTGACTTACTGAACTATAAGATAATACATTTCTATTATTTAAAATTACTAAAGTGCAGTAGTTTATTTCAGCAGCAATAGAAAATGCCTACATGGTACAGACAAGCAGACAGGAGATAGACAGGTGTAGTGGCAGACAGGCTGGAGGGCAGGCAGAAGACTGGGTGTTGGATGGAAAGCCAATGATGCAGGTGGGTAGGAGATAGATAGACAAGCATGTAGGGAGCCTGGAGAAAGGTGAATAAGAAATGGGAAGACAGACTGGAAGACAGAAATAGGACAGCAAACAGGTAAGAAGAAGGGCACGTGGCCAGATAGAAAGCAGGATGTGGGCAGACAGGCAGGGGACAGCAGCAGGGGTCAGGAAGAGAGGATGGCAGGTGAAGGCCCTCAGAGCTGGCCCTTGTCCCCACAGGGGTTAGGGAGCTTCCTGAGATTCAGGTGAATCCCACTGCTGGACTTCAACACAACTCGTGGTATGGGGATGGGGATCCTGGTGGGATCAGGCAGCAGCTCAAAGCAGAGCAGGGTCAGGGCCGTGGCCACCTTCAGCTAGTTCATGGCAAATTGTTTCCAGATGCAGTTCCTGGGCCAGGCAGAGACAATGAATTGAAAAATGGCCTCAGGCCCTATTGTGAGCTAGGCAGGCTTTGATCTCTGAGCTCCACCCTTGAACTGGGGATTTAGGGTCTTCCTCTATGTGCCCAGCCCCAAAATCCTTTCCCTAAAGCCCACATGCCCCTCTAGCCAGGCCTCAATTCACTCTTTTCCTTGACTTTAGACAGAGTCTGCCAATCTTCCAGGGCTAGCTCCTAACTCCTGTCTCTGCTCTGAGCAGGCCTATAACCCTCTGTCAGGAAGTCCAGGGCTCTAACGCAGAGTTTAATTACATGAATTGTCATAGAGTTAATCAATGGTTTGTTCACTCTTCCACAGACAGTGTGTGGTTCCCCAGTATAGAGCCCAGTTCAGGTCCCTGTAAGGTAGGGGAGGCACACTCTCCAGTGCTCTCCATGTAGGGGTACACAGAGACCTGGATTCTTAGAGAAAGACCCAGATGGGTGGGAGAGGGGAGTCAGATGGGTAGTGGGAAGGCTTCCTGGGAGGACACTAGGTAGGTGGCCCTCAACTGTTACCCCACCTTCCTCCCACTCCATGGTCCAGGCTTACCCATCTGCCTACCAGCACCTGTAGCCTTCTAATTGTACTCCAGAAATGTCCCTCCTTGCTGTCCCTCAGTCTTCTCACCTGGATTTTCTGGGTCCCTGCTTGCCCTTCCTCCACACTGAAGCCACAGACCAGCTCAGATTCTCCCACACTCCTCAAAGAGGGGACAGCATCCCAGGTAGCAGCCAAGCCCTCCGTAGCTGTTGCCTCACCCAACTCTTACCAGGTGCCTGGACCATGGACATCCAGCCCACGTCCTAGCCCTGTTCATGTGGAGATGGCTGGGAGCATCCTCACTCCACCTATGCCTGCCACATCCTCAAGGCTAAGGCCAGGACCCAGCTGCCTCTCACTCCCTGCCAACTGTGCCTCTCCCACCTCAAGCCCCCAGTTGGCATCTGTGCTCCATCCATAAACAGTCCAGTGCCTAGGACAGTGCCAGAAACAGGAACACTCAATGAGTCACTTGTGGGGAAAAGAAAGATCAGACTGTTACTGTGTCTATGTAGAAAGTAGACATAAGAGACTCCATTTGGTTCTGTACTAAGAACAATTCTTCTGCCTTGAGATGCTGTTAATCTGTAACCCTACCCCCAACCCTGTGCTTGCAAAGACATGTGCTGTGGTGACTCAAGGTTTAATGGATTTGGGGTTATGCACGATGTGCTTTGTTAAACAAGTGCCTGAAGGCAGTATGCTTGGTAAAAGTCATCACCATTCTCTAATCTCAAGTACCCAGGGACACAAACACTGTGGAAGGCCTCAGGGACCTCTGCCTAGGAAAGCTAGGTATTGTCCAAGGTTTCTCCCCATGTGATAGTCTGAAATGTGGCCTCATGGGAAGGGAAAGACCTGACTGTCCCCCAGCCTGACACCCATAAAGGGTATGTGCTGAGCAGGATTAGTAAAAGAGGAAGGCCTCTTTGCAGTTGAGATAGAGGAAGGCATCTGTCTCCTGCCCGTCCCTGGGTAATGGAATGTCTCAATGTAAAACCCAATTGTATGTTCTATTTACTGAGATAGGAGAAAACCACCTTAGGGCTGGATGGAGGTGAGACATGCTAGCGCTAGCGGCAATGCTGCTCTTTAATGCACGGAAATGTTTATGGAGATGTTTGCATACATGCATATCAAAGCACAGCACTTTTCCTTAAACTTATTCATGACACAGAGATCTTTATTCATATGTCTTCCTGCTTACCCTCTCCCTACTATTACCCTATTTTCCTGCCACTTCCCCCTCCCTCTCTGAGATGGTAAAGATAATGATCAATAAATACTGAGGGAACTCAGAGACTGGTGCTGGCGCGGGTCCTCCATATGCTGAGAGCCGGTCCCCCGGGCCCACTTTTCTTTCTCTATACTTTGTCTCTGTGTCTCTTTCTTTTCCCAAGTTTCTCCTTCCACCTGACAAGAAATGCCCACAGGTGTGGAGGGGCAGGCCAGTCCTTCAGTCACTCAGTGACTGAATAAGTGAAAGGATGGATGAGGGAGTGATGTGTGCCTGGAGCATACAATGTGTTTCTACATAACAACACATTTTTGTTCTTGACTATGAACTCCTAGAGGCAGGGACAGTACCTTTTTCCTGTTTTCCCATCATGCTGCACAGGGCCTAACCCACAGAGGTAGGCTTAATAAATACTTATATATTTGAATGAAGTTAATTAAGTTTAAAAAGAATAAAATAGAATGAAATACACTGAGAGTAAATATTAGTTCTGGACTAGAAATGGAGGTTGGGGATGCTCTCCTGTCCTCTAGTGGCAGCAACATGATTAACAGCCACTGTTTACGAGGAAGTTGGCATCCTGGGATAAAACAGTGCTGGAGAAGGACTTTCTGGAACATCTGCTTAACAACCATTGTGTGAAAGTGGACTCACCATCGGGAGAATTCACATAATTACTCATTTAGAAAAACTATGTTTCTAATAACAATTTACTTAGTTCTTGGCATTTGCTTTTCATACGATGTTTCCTGTAGCCCTGAGGATTTCCACAGCAGTTATTTTGGAGTGCATATGTCCAACTCAGCAACTATTTCAAGTGTGTTTCATAATCCACACACATAAGTCTTCAAATGTTATTTGTCATATACTGAAAAGAGGGTTTTCCTCAAAGGCAGTTTATTGTTCTCATTTTCATGTGTTTGTCAACATTTTGCTATGTGGCCTATGGGATCGTGGCATAGAGAACCCACTGCACAAAAACAATTTTGCCAAATGGGAAAGGAGACACAAATATGTGAACACTATAACACAGTGGACATTTGTTGGACGAGATAGCAAAATATTTGAGACAATGCATATGGGTATAAAACTTTCTGCAAACGGTTGTTTTAACCATTCACTTTTTTGGCTTGTAAGGGAGGACTAGCAAGGCACTTTAATTCTAAATATATGCAAATATTTCAGTTTTTTCACATAACACATGGGTGAATTAAGTAGAAATGGTAGTGTGCTGCAATGGCAATATGTAGGGGAGAGAGAAATTGACTTTAATATCTCTGAAAATTGAGAAATGCTAATATATACAATTTAATTGACTGAACAAGTATAATATTGAAAATTCATACTCCTCAAATGAGGGAAACACCAGAATACATGAAAGTTCAGAACACACACACTCAGTGAATTTTAGCTGGACATTGGAAAAAGCAGAGGGAGCGAGGTCGCCGTCCTGTGCCCTGAAATGCCGTCTTTCTTTTGTACACAGAGACATCAGCATCAGACTTCTTTCCCACAAACACCAGCATCCAAGGGTGTAGGTGAAGATGGCACATATGAATTAGGGAGCCATAAGCATCAGCTGTGTGCCCAGAGCCTCCCCCTGTTTCTCAACCTCCACCTCCACCTCCATACCAGCATTATGGCGCCTCACCTCGATCCTCCTGAGAAGGGCAGGAAAACATGGCTGTGTCAAGCAGAACCCGATACAAAGCGGGAAGGGTCAAACTCCTGCAGAGAGAGCACCAGGGCAGGACAGATAAGAGTTCAACCTCTGTTATCTACCCATAAAGAGACAGGATCCCCTGAGCAGGAGAATGTGTTGGGCCTGAGAGATCATCCTCCTCCAAGGCCTTCTTACCTCTGGATTTGACCACATCTTTGGGTTGTGGTGAAGGCCATAAATGGAAAGAGTGACTTTCAATCCTGTGGGGAGGGTGTGGAAGAGAGAGAGAAGATGGATCATATCCATGAGGTGGCCTGGTCCCTCATGCAGCAGGGGACAAGTTTTGCCTCAAATAATCACTTTGAGCAGGATGATACAGGGGTGCTGAGCTTGGTTAAGCATGTGAGCTCAAAGGATGAGTAGAAAACCATGAATCCAGGAATGAGAAGCAAGAAAGCATTGGTGTTTTACTGTTTATAGTAAGTGCACTGCGAACCTACCTTCATCAAATGCCTCCAAGGGCCACTGGGGAATATACATGAACTCACTCAATACCCACAACAATGATCCAAGGAAGACATTCCTTTATTCCCAAATTTCAGAGGAGCTACCTCAGTCTCAGAGACTGATTGTCTTGCCTGTGGTCACACAACTAGAATATAACAAGACCGAGACCAGACCCAATGGGGGTTGAGCCTTGGTGGATTCTGTCCACTGTAGTGGTCTCAAATACGGTCATCAGTGGCTCTCTGTCATCAATCTGAGGGCTCCTCAAAAGCTGGACAACAGCTGACCCATGACTTATGATTCCTGATCTCCCTCATTTGCCTTAACCCGATCAGGAAAGAACCACATCTCCCTGTGCCTGTGTCTGATTCTTTCTAGCTCTCCACATCTCATGGAATAGAATTTTAGGGCTTTTGTTCCCAAGGCCACATGCAGAGGCTGACATTTATTTATCAGACTTTTGGTGGTTCAAGCTCTTTGCCAGGCATTTCAAATTCTTTATCCTAACTATAAAATATGTTCCATTTTTTGACAAGGAAAGGGAGGCTCAGAGAGGTTTGCAATTGCTGAAGCACAGGTGCATTCCTGACCCTCCGCATCTCCCTGTGGAGAGCTTAGGTAAGTGGATGGGGGAAGTTCATACCTTTGGGCAAGGAGTGCCCATCAGGGAAGGTGATGGGGGTGCTGAGCTCTCTGCCAATGCCTGGCACCAGTGGGTAGAGTCTGAGCACCTCCTTGATGCCCATGGTGGTGTAGGGCATCTTGTCCAGGTGGTCCCTGAAACAAAGTCCATCCTGAACATCAGCAGGGCCTGGGAAGACCAGGTGAATCCCCCCTACAGAGAGAGCATGACTCCTGCATCTCTTGAACCCTCACTCACCAGGTGATGGAGGCTCCATCCCCCAGGAAGCTCTGGATCTCCTCCTGGCACCTCTGCTGAAGCTTGGGGTGTGTGGCCAGAGCATAGAGGATCCAGGAGATGCCACTGGCTGTGGTGTCATGGCCTCCAAACATAAATGTGTCTGCCTCAGAACGGAGGTCCTTGTCTGACAAGCTGCTCTCACTCTCTATCTGGGGAGGCCGAGGTAAGAGTGCAGGGTTAGTCTCTTGCTCTGTGCTTTGGGAAAAGCCTCTGGCCTCTCCTACACACACTCACTTTGGCCAAGAGAAGGATGTCCAGGAAATCCAAGTTCCTCTTCCTCCTGACCTTCTCCAGCTCCCCCTCCTCTTTCAGGTGAGCCTTCCTCAGTTGGATCCCTCGATCTGTTCCAGAACAGTGGTTACCATACAGAGCTGAGAGTGTCAGCAGCCCCCAGGAGGTCCAGCGGTTCACCTGCCCCCATGTGGGTGCCCGGTAGACCTCAGCATGAGTGTGGGTGTGGATGCATGTTTAGGAGTAAAAATTCTAGTGCTGTGTGAGGCAGGGCAGGCCTCCCCGCAATGGCACAACCCATGGGGCTGCTGCTTGAATGCTGCTTGGATGGGGTCTCAGGTAACCATCCCCATGTGGGGACACAGGTAAATGCCTGCACAGTGCCTGCCCCTAACATCTCAGCTCCCAGCCCCTGCTCTATGGAAATCTCCGTCATGGGTGTGTCCCAGTTGCTGCAGGGGCCACAGGGGGCCTGGCTGTGTGTGATGAGTCAGGGCAGCCTCCTTTAGCTGTGCCTGTTCAAGGGAGGAGACAAGAAGAGGAATGGACAAGCTGGCAGGCACGGTGGTTCCAGCAGCTGGTAGGGGTCAGGCTGTAGATAGTGTCATTCTGATGAAAGACATTGCTCGTGCGGGAAACAGCTTTTTAAGGTCCCCAATGGCCTGGATGTAGGATTGGATATCCCTGAGGGAAAGGATGCAGAAGAGACCAAAGTCAAAGGGGCCTCTGGTTTGGAGGCAATGTGGAATCTGGATGGAGATAGCTTCAAACACGGGACAGGCATCACTGAGGCACTTGTTTCTTCTGTCTTAGAGCTCTGTGATCCTGAGGTTTTTATAAGATATTGTGAACAGTCAGGGTCTACCTGTACTAGGGATAAGGAATCCTTAGCTGAAGCATGGTTTGGTCTGGTCTGGGATTAGAGCTTTGTCATAGGCTGAGTCTTTCTTCCTGTGGAGGTGAGCCCACAAGCTGCCCCACCTGCCTCTCAGGTATGTCCATGCAGTTGATAAGAACATGAACCCCACAGCTGGAGAGTTATCACTGACCGGTCCAGCTGGATGTTGAGGGCACACTTCATGATGGTGTCCAGGGTCATCAAGGAGACGTGCTGAAAGATCTCCAGAGGGGAGTCCTGGCCAATGAGCTCTTCCCATTTGTCCTGTAGTGGGAGAGGGCATGGACCTTCTTAATTCCCCAGAAGTCTTTTGCTAATAGGGCTTGGCTTTTCCCTTTATCTCCAGATATCATGGTTGGGATCCCTCATTTTAAGAGCAGATGTAGTGCTGATATTGGTATTGTGAATCAATATGTGTAAACCAATACCTAGTTTTCAAAGTTTTAATGCAGCATTAACCATGTTTGCTCACAATAGCCTGAAGTAAGTTTTGTATTCTTAGATTCAGTTATACCCTATAGTTGGCTGGAAACATTTTTTATTGTTGTTTATGAATAAATAATAGGAGTACTCTTCAGTGTTCTGAAAACTGAGCTTGTTCTGCGAGACTGATTGCATCTCAACTTTAGGGGGACAAGTGTCAAAACAAAAGGAAGTCTAAAAGGCCCATATACATGGTAAAACCCCGTCTCTACTAAAAATACAAAAATTGGCTGGGCATGGTGGCGGGCGCCTGTAGTCCCAGCTACTCGGGAGGCTGAGGCAGGAGAATGGGGTGAACCTGGAAGGTGGAGTTTGCAGAGAGCCGAGATTGCGCCACCGCACTCCAGCCTGGATGACAAGCGAGACTACGCGTCTCAAAAAAAAAAAAAAAAAAAAAAAAGGCTCATATAGGTGCCTAATGGAGGCATATCAGGGACTTCAATTAACTTTCATTCGTGAAATATTTGCTGAGCACAGTTGAGTGAGAAATCAGAGTCTGGAAAGGAGAGAAGGGTATGGCAGCTCTGGCTCTGAGAATGAAGAGCTGGTGTCCCTTTCACTGCATGCATGGCTCAAATCCATGCAGAAAGCTCTGGGTCCCAGGCCAGAGCCTCAGTGAGTGACATCCTGGCCTGTCCATCCTGACACTGGAGATGACATTGTCAAGGCCATCAGGGGTACGGTGTCCTGATGTCCAGTAGATTGACCATCTCTCCAGTACCCTGCGCTGAAGATTTCAAAGTGGGAGGCAGAATTTATCCACTGTGATCCTCATTCCCTGTGACAATGAGCAAAGTGTGGATGCAACTTGATGCCTGGGTGCTCTGCTATCACATCACTTTTGGGGAACCCTACTCTCACAGTAATGGTCTGAGTGTGTTATTCTGTTTGGCTGTGTCTATGGCTGTCTGTGGGACACAGAGTTGAGAGTGAAATTGGTGAGAGTGCATGCTGTGATTGGATGTCTGGAGGGGAGAAAGATGGACTCACCAGTATCATGTGTATGGAGTCCGCCATGAGCCCCATGTAGGACTTCAAGATGTCATAATGGAATGTTGGGGTCAGCATCCGCCAGTGCTGGTGCCACTTCTGCCCATTCAGCAGGGGCAAACCATACCCTGGGCCAAGAGATGGGTGTGTGTATGTGTGTTGGGGAGAGGCAGGATGAAAGGGATCTCTTGGGAAGGAGACAAGGTGGTTTCTGAGGGGAGAAAACCTAGAAGGTACTTCGTGGGCTATGGCAGGGAAAGCAGGTGCATTTCAGGTATGGGAATGTCCTAATTGGGCTGATACATCCCTGTGATTAGGACAGTTGTGAGATGAAGTTTGGAAAGAGTTGTGGGCAGGTGTTAAATAAATATCAGGCTGAGGATGTCTGGAGAGAACTGAGAAGTGAAGTGGAAGAAGCTGAGCCTGAGGAGGGCTCACACCAGCATTAGGACAGGGTGAGGGTCTTGTTAAAAGAAGGGACATGAAACTGGATTAGGGATGGGTCATGACAGTGGTGGCCCCCCACCTTTTGTTCTCTGTGAGCCAAAGAGTTTGCTCTTGGCAAATCTAACTGGGGAGCAGATGGGGAACTGGGGAGCGGTCCTAGTTTACATGTACATACCAACCCAGGGAGCCAGGAATCTACAGTTTTCTGGAATTTTGGAGTCTGAGAGATAAGACAAGGCTTTACAGGAAACTGGGAGCTACTACTACTAAATTTGGCATCCCCAGAGGTAGCTGTGGTTCAGACCATGGGCTTCTATCAGTTGATAATGTCTGTGTGTTGGCAGTTTGACCTGTGTCATTTCCCATTTTGCCTCCTGTCCCTTTCCATGTCTGCCATAAAGATCAATGTGGGCTCAGGAAGTCAGATTCAGTGTTCCAGCAGCAGAACACCCACAGATCTAGGAAGGAGTTGGTAAGAAACATAGGCAATGTCCTCCAGGCCAGAGGGTAAGACAGAGCCATTGGTGGTGGCTTAGTCTACCAGTGACCCAGGACTGGAAGGAGTTATAGTTACCAAATCCATGTCATAATTCATTGATGAGTGAAAATGAGAATAAGAACCAAAATCTCAAAATTATAGATCAACACCAGTACCATATGCATATACCCACATATCTGTGAGACATGTGGCAATGTATTAGCTTAAAACAGCAAGAAGGAAAAGGAAAAACAGCAAATTTACCCCCACACGGTTGTTTTAAACATTCAATACTCAGTAAATACTTCTGGCTGTAGCCTAGACTGTGGGCATTGTGAATGGTTGGGACAGGGTTTAGACATTAACATTTGAACTGCCACTTTCTACTGGGTTTTTACAGACCCAGGGGCATGTATCAGCAGGGAAGAGCTGATGCAGTCAGGATGAAGTTTCAATCTCACCTGATGTCCCCAGAATCACCTTCATGTAGTCAGGGTCATAGAGCTGGACACGAACTTTGCCTCCCCATAGCCAATGAGGACAGGCACTTGGGAATGTCTCCACCCATTTTCGAGTCTGTTGTAGCTCCTGGTCCTGTTGGAACTATCAACGAGGGTAGATAGATGAATGCTTTCATTTAGTTGTAGTCTTTGCAGTGGGAGCGAAGGGCAGGACAACCACAGAGACCATGTAGTTCTGGAGGTACCAGTACAAGTTAGGAATTTGGAACTGTTTCTGATGACCTGGGCTCTGATCCAGATTCTTGTTCTCTCCCCAAGACTTGACCTAAGGTCAGATTCTGTCTCTCTGCTGTGTAGAGCTATGGGCACAATACTGCCTGCAGAAACTTCAGTCGGTTATTGTTTCCACATTGTGTAAAATCTCTGGAAGTCATAAATACGACAATTTCCATGGACAATGTGCACAACTTGTATCACTCAGTAAGCAGATTTGTAAAATAATTTAGTATATTTACAGAATAAAATGAATTAATGTAAACATTTTAAATTATACAATAATTTTATATAATCATATTCATTATATTTTCAGTATTAATCTAGCATATATGGTAAGCATATGTTAAGATAAAACAGTGATCAAAGGATTGTTCAGGGGGGTGCCAAAGATGGCTGAATAGGAACAGCTCCAGCCTCCAGCTCCCAGCATGAGCGACACAGAAGATGGGTGATTTCTGCATTTTCAACTGAGGTACTGGATTCATCTCACTGGGGTGTGTCGAACAGTTGGTGCTGGTGAGTGGGTGCAGCCCAACCAGTGAGAGCTGAAGCAGAGCGAGGCATCACCTCACCTGGGAAGTGCAAGGGGGAAGGAAATTCCTTTTCCTAGCCAAGGGAAACTCAGACACACAACACTTGTAAAATCGGGTAACTCCCACCCTAATACTGTGCTTTACCAAGGGTCTTAGCAAAAGGCACACCAGGATATTATATCCCAAGCCTGGCCTGGAGGGTCCCACGCCCACGGAGCCTCCCTCATTGCTAGCACAGCAGTCTGAGATCTAACTGCAAGGCAGCAGCGAGGCTGGGAGAGGGGCACCCACCATTGCTAAAGCTTAAGTAGGTAAACAAAGCTGCTGGGAAGCTCAAACTGGGTGGAGCCCACCACAGCTCAAGGAGGCCTGCCTGTCTTTGTAGACTCTACCTCTGGGGACAGGGCATAGCTAAACAAAAAGCAGCAGAAACCTCTGCAGATGTAAATGGCCCTGTCTGACAGCTTTGAAGAGAGCAGTGGTTCTCCTAGCACAGAGCTTGAGATCTGAGAATGGGCAGACTGCCTGCTCAAGTGGGTCCCTGATCCCTGTGTAGCCTAACTGGGAGACATCCCCCACTAGGTGCAGACTGACACCTCATACCTCACATGGCTGGGTACACCTTTGAGACAAAGCTTCCAGAGCAAGAATCAGACAGCAACACTTGCTGTTCAGCAATATTCTATCTTTTGCAGCCTCCGCTGCTGATACCCAGGCAAGCAGGGTCTGGAGTGGACCTCAAGCAAACTCCAACAGACCTACAACTGAGGGTCCTGACTGTTAGAAGGAAAACTAACAAACAGAAAGGACACCCACACCAAAACCCCATCAGTACGTCACCATCATCAAAGGCCAAAGGCAGATAAAACCACAAAGATGGGGAAAAAGCGGTGCAGAAAAGCTGGAAATTCAAAAAATCAGAGCGCATCTCCCCCTCCAAAGGAACACAGTTCATTGCCAGCAACGGAACAAATCTGGACGGAGAATGACTTTGACGAGTTGAGAGAAGGCTTCAGTTGATCAAACTTCTCAGAGCTAAAGGGGGAACTATGTACCCAGTGCAAAGAAACTAAAAACTTTGAAAAAAGAATGGAAGAATGGATAACTAGAATAACCAATGCAGAGAAGTCCATAAACGAACTGATAGAGATGAAAACCATGACACGAGAACTACGTGACAAATGCACAAGCTTCAGTTACCGACTTGATCAACTGGAGGAAAGAGTATCAGTGATTGAAGAGCAAATGAACGAAATGAAGTGAGAAGAGAAGTTTAGAGAAAAAAGAGTAAAAACAAATGAACAAAGCTTCCAAGAAATATGAGATCATGTGAAAAGTCCAAATCTACATCTGATTGGTGTGTCTGAAAGTGACGGGGAGAATGGAACCAAGTTGGAAAACACTCTGCAGGATATTATCAAGGAGAACTTCTCCAACCTAGCAAAGCAGGCCAACATTCAAATTCAGGAAATACAGAGAACGCCACAAAGATACTCCTCAAGAAGAGCAACTCCAAGACACATAATTGTCAGATTCACCAAAGTTGAAATGAAGGAAAAAATGTTAAGGGCAGCCAGAGAGAAAGGTAGGTTTACCCACAAAGGGAAGCCCATCAGACTAACAGCAGATCTCTCTGCAGAAACTCTCCAAGTCAGAAGAGAGTGGGGGCCAATATTCAACATTCTTAAAGAAAAGAATTTTCAACCCAGAATTTCATATCCAGCCAAACTAAGTTTCATAAGTGAAGGAGAAATAAAATCCTTTACAGATAAGCAAGTGCTGAGAGATCTTGTCACCACCAGGCCCGCCCTACAAGAGATCCTGAAGGAAGCACTGAACATGGAAAGGAACAACTGGTACCTGCTATTGCAAAAACATGCCAAAATGTAAAGACCATCAAAGCTAGGAAGACACTGCATCAACTAGCGAGCAAAATAACCAGCTAATATCATAATGACAGGATCAAGTTCACATGTAACAATATTAACCTTAAATGTAAATGGACTAAATGGCCCAATTAAAAGACACAGACTGGCAAATTGGATAAAGAGTCAAGACCCATCAGTTTGCTGTATTCAGGAGACCCACTTCACATGCAGAGACATACATAGACTCAAAATAAAGGGATGGAGGAAGATCTGCCAAGCAAATGGAAAACAAAAAAAGCAGGGGCTGCAATCCTAGTCTCTGATAAAACAGACTTTAACCAACAAAGATAAAAAGAGACAAAGAAGGCCATTACCTAATGGTAAAGGGATCAATCCAACAAGAAGAGCTAACTATCCTAAATATATATGCACCCAATACAGGAGGACCTAGATGTGTAAAGCAAGTCCTTAGAGACTTACAAAGAGACTTAGACTCCCATACAATAATAATGGGAGACTTCAACACCCCACTGTCAACATTAGACAGATCAATGAGACAGAAAATTAACAAGGATATCCAGGAATTGAACTCAACTCTGCACCAAGTGGACCTAATAGACATCTACAGAACTCTCCACCCCAAATCAACAGAAAATACATTCTTCTCAGCACCACATCACACTTATTCCAAAATTGACCAATAGTTGGAAGTAAAGCACTCCTCAGCAAATGTAAAAGAATAGAAATTATAACAAACTGTCTCTCAGACCACAGTGCAATCAAACTAGGACTCAGGACTAAGAAGCTCAATGAAAACTGCTCAACTACATGGATGGCACAACCTGCTCCTGAATGACTACTGGGTGCATAATGAAATGAAGGCAGAAATAAAGATGTTCTTTGAAACCAATGAGAAAACAGATACAACATATCAGAATCTCTGGGACATATTTAAAGCAGTGTGTAGAGGGAAATTTATAGCACTAAATGCCCACAAGAGAAAGCAGGAAAGATTGAAAATAGACACCCCAACATCACAATTAAAAGAACTAGAGAAGCAAGAGCAAATACATTCAAAAGCTAGCAGAAGGCAAGAAATAACTAAGATCAGAGCAGAACTGAAGGAGATAGAGACACAAAAATCCCTTCAAACAATCATTGAATCCAGGAGCTGGTTTTTTTGAAAAGATCAACAAAATTGATAGACCGCTAGCAAGACTAATAAAAAAGAAAAGAGAGAAGAATCAAATAGATGCAATAAAAATTGATAAAGCGATATCACCACCAACCCCACAGAAATACAATCTACTATCAGAGAATACTATAAACACCTCTACACAAATAAACTAGAAAACCTAGAAGACATGGATAAATTCCTGGACACGTACACTCTCCCAAGACTAAACCAGGAAGAAGTTGAATCCCTGAGCAGACCAATAGCAGGCTCTGAAATAGAGGCAATAATTAATAGCCTATGAACCAAAAATAGTCCAGGACCAGATGGATTCACAGACAAATTCTACCAGAGGTATAAGGAGGAGCTGGTACCATTCCTTCCGAAACTATTCCAATCAATAGAAAAAGAGGGACTCCTCCTTAACTCATTTTATGAGGCCAACATCATCCTGATAGTAAAGCCTGGCAGAGACACAACAAAAAGAGAGAATTTTAGACCAATATCCCTGATGAACATTGATGCAAAAATCTTCAATAAAATACTGTCAAACCGAATCCAGCAGCACATCAAAAAGATTATCCACCATGATCAAGTGGGCTTCATCTCTGGGATGCAAGGCTGGTTCAACATATGCAAATCAATAAACGTAATCCAGCATATAAACAGAACCAGAGACAAAAACCACATGATTATCTCAATAGATGCAGAAAAGGCTTTTGACAAAATTCAACAACCTTCAAGCTAAAAACGCTCAATAAATTCGGCATTGATGGAACGTATCTCAAAATAATAAGAGCTATTTATGACAAACCCACAGCCAATATCATACTGAATGGGCAAAAACTGAAAGCATTCCCTTTAAAAACTGGCACAAGACAGGGATGCCCTCTCTCACCACTCCTATTCAACATAGTATTGGAAGTTCTGGCTAGGGCAATCAGGCAAGAGAAAGAAATAAAGGGTATTCAATTTGGAAAAGAAGAAGTCAAATTGTCCCTGTTTGCAGATAACATGATTGTATATTTAGAAAACCCCATGGTCTCAGCCCAAAATCTCCTTAAGCTGAAAAGCAACTTCAGCAAAGTCTCAGGATGCAAAACAATGTGCAGAAATCACAAACATTTTAATACACCAATAACAGACAAACAGAGAGCCAAATCATGAATGAACTCCCATTCACAATTGCTTCAAAGAGAATAAAATACCTAGGAATCCAACTTACAAGGGATGTGAAGGACCTCTTCAAGGAGAACCACAAACCACTGCTCAGTGAAATAAAACAGGACAGAAACAAATGGAACAACATACCATGCTCATGGATAGGAAGAATCAATATCGTGAAAATGGCCATACTGCCTAAGGTAATTTATAGATTCAATGCCATCCCCATTAAACTACCAATGACTTTCTTCATAGAATTGGAAAAAACTGCTTTAAAGTTCATATGGAACCAAAAAAGAGCCCGCATTGCCAAGACAATCCTAAGCCAAAAGAACAAAACTGGAGGCATCACCCTACCTGACTTCAAACTATACTACAAGGCTATAGT